GGCCAGGGCTGCTCCTGCAGGAGACAGCGGTCAGGACGCAGGGCGGGCCCAGCAGCCATGGTCTGCGTCCACCACATGACGGGCCCTCCCCCTCCGTCCGGCCACAGCTGGGGTGCCCGGACCCCAAACTCACCCAGCTGCAGGCTTCCCAAGACGGGGTGCTGTGGGGAGCTCCTGGCTGGGGGAGGACGAGGGCAGGGCCAGGGTCCGGCCACCCCGGCGGGACAAGGTCCGGGCTGTAAATGCTGGGCTGTGAGCAGCGCGATTGGAATGCAAATAAACACTTGCTGGGCCCCCCCCCCCCACCTGACTCCCGACCACGCCTCCTCTCGGGACAGGAGAGGGCCACGCAGATCCCGGGACCAGGGACACTGCGAGGTACCAGGAGGGGCTGGAGGGGCAGTAGGACCCACCCCTCTCAGCCTCCTGCACACGGTCACCCAGCGAAGTGAGCCAGCGCCATGGCCACCCCGTCCTGAAACACCGTCCCCTGCAGGCCACCGAGTCCCTTCAGCAGCAGAAACCGACAGCCCCGCTCTTATGGCCCCTGGTCACTTCCTGCCCACCCTGTGAGAGAGCCCGCGGCAGGTACTGGCTCCTGCTGCCTGGGGATCTGGCCCTGTGGTTAGAGGGTGTGCACAGCTCTCCTCGCTCCTGCCCCTCCTCCTGCTCCTGCCCCTGCACCTCCACCTGCCCCTCCTCCTGCTCCAGCTCCTGCCCCCACTCCTGCCCCAACACCTCCACCTGCCCCTCCTCCTGCTCCAGCTCCTGCCCCAGCTCCACTCAGACTCCGGGCTCCCCCAGGCTGCCCTGCAGACTTGGGACCTGGGAGGCCCAGCCCTGTCCTCTTCCCTCAGCTGAATGCAAAGCGATTCCTCTCTGACGTGGCCTGTGAGCCGGCAGCCTAACGGCTCTGAAAAAGGCAAAACCACCAGCGGACGGCCTGGCCCTCGTGTGTCCCAGCTCACGTGTCCCTGAAACCACTGGCGTGGTGGCCTGTGGCCCACGGACTGAAGGTCACCAGCGCTCCCGTCGTAAAAGACAGCAGTGGCCACTCCTTCCTCAGGTGCCCGCACACGGCAGGGGGTGAGGGAGCAGGTGCCACGCCCACGCCCACGCCCACGCAGACACATGGGACAGTGGGGGGAGGGGACACAGAGGGGCGGGCCCCCGGGGGCCGAGAGCAGGGACTGATGCTCACTTCCTGCCGGCAGGTGAGTCCAGGCCAGGGAGGGCCCCTGGGTCAGGGGGAGCTCACGTCCTGGAGGCCCAGGGCCCCTCCGCCCGCACACCTGCCCCCCAGGCCCCGCTGTCCCGGCTGGTGGAGGAGGCAGGAGCTTCCCTCGTGGGGGAAGCAGACGTGTGGCACGTGACGCCTGGGGCAGCCTGGCTCCACGTGTGGTTTCAGGTCTGGGAGGAGCCGGGGAGGCGGGTCCCTCACCCCGTCCCGGCCTCACGCACGGTCACCTGAGGTTTCCTCTCTGCCCAGTTCTCCTCCTGGATGCCTGGCCCCCAGCCACAGCGGCCGCGAGTCCAGGTCCCCAGGACGACGCGGGACAACCATCCAGCAATAAAGAGGCGCAAAGTACTGACGTGCACGAATCTCAAAACCATCCCGGGGCCAGGGAGGAGCTGCCCACACCCGCCTTTTGCAGGAGCCGGGAGCCGCCAGAGAGGCGACCCCGGGATCGGGGA